ATGCCCAGCTAATTTTTTGTATTTTTAGTAGAGATGGGGTTTCGCCATGTTGACCAGGATGGTCTCGATCTCTTGACCTCGTGATCCACCCGCCTCGGCCTCCCAAAGTGCTGGGATTACAGGCTTGAGCCACCGCGCCCGGCCTAAAAAGAATTTTTAAAAAATTCACGTAGTTACATACAAATTTCAGAGAAATATCAAATAAAAAATTCAGGACACCTAGTTACGAATTTCAGAGACACATCAAATAAATTTTCTTAGTATATTTCAAATATTATAAGGGACATACTTACACTAAACATTGTTCTTATTTTTCTGCAATCCAACTTAATTTTTATTTACTTATATATTTATTTTTTGAGATGGACTCCCCCTTTGTTGCCCAGGCTGGGGTGCAGTGGTACAATCTCAACTCACTGCAACCTCTGCCTCCCAGGTTCAAGGGATTACAGGTGTCCATCACGGTCCCGGATAATCTTTTATATATATAAATATATATATATATATTTTTGATGGTCTCGCTATGTCACTCAGGCTGAAGTGCAGTGGCATGATCCCTGCTCACCGCAACCTCCACCTCCCGGGTTCAAGCGATTCTCCCGCCTCAGCCTCCTGAGTAGCTGGGATTACAGGCGTCTGTGACACCCAACTAAGTTTTGTATTTTTATTAGAGACGGGGTTTCGCCATGTTGGCCAGGCTGGTCTTGAACTCCTGACCTCGTGATCCACCCGCCTTGGCCTCCCAAAGTGCTGGGATTACAGGCGTGAGCCACCGCACCCGGCCTGCAATTCAACTTTAAATGGAGATCCTGAACTTTATCTCCAGCGCTGCCCCTGAGAATTAAATTTAATACTATTTTAGAAGTATTATTTAGGATATCAATATCAAGTATTCAGAACGTTAATTAAGAATTGAATCAGGCCAGGCGTGGTGGCTCACGCCTGTAATCCCAGCACTTTGGGAGGCCGAGGCGGGCGGATCACCTGAGGTCAGGAGTTGGAGACCAGCCTGGCCAACGTGGTGAAACCGTGTTTCTACTAAAAGTAGAAAAATCAGCCGGGTGTAGTGGTGGGCACCTGTAATTCCAGCCACTCTGGAGGCTGAGGCAGGAGAATCGCTTGAACTCAGGAGGCAGAGTTTGCAGTGAGCCGAGATGGCCCCATTGCACCCCAGTCTGGGCAACAAAGTGAGGATTCTGTCTCAAAAAAAAAAAAATTTTTTGATTGGAGGCTGGGCACGGTGGCTCACACCTGTAATCCCAGCTCTCTGGAGGCTGAGGCGGGCGGATCACCTGAGGTCAGGATTTTGAGACCAGCCTGGCCAAGATGGTGAAAACCCCGTCTCTACTAAAAGTACAAAAATTTAGCAGGCGTGGTGGCACATGCCTGTAATCCCAGCTACTCAGGAGGCTGAGACAGGAGAATTGCTTGAACCCGGGAGGCGGAGGTTGCAGTGAGCCGAGATCGCGCCATTGCACTCCAGCCTGGGTAACATGAGTGAAACTCCTTCTCAAAAAAAAAAAAAAAAAAAAAAGATTTCAGGGGGGTGGGCACGGTGGCCCACACCTGTAATCTCAGCACATTCGGAGGCCAAGGCGGGAGGGTCCCTTGAGCCCAGGAGTCCAAGACCAGCCTAGGCAATACGGAAGGACCTCATCTCTACCAAAAATCAGCCAGGCGTGGTGGGGCACCTGTGTTCCCTGTGAGGAGGCTCAGGTGGGAGGATCCCTTGAGCCGGGAGGTGGAGGCTTCGGTGAGCTGTGATTGTGCCACTGCACTCCAGCCTGGGCAACAGAGCAAGACCCTGTCTCTGAGAAGGAAAAACTGGGTTTATCATTGAAGTGAATTCTACCGTGGTTTAAGTGGAAGCCTCTATTTGCTGCTGTTGAATCTGGAAGCCCCTGGGTGAGGGGGAGGCCTGTCTCCCTGCTGCAGTCAGGGGCTGTGTCTGACCAGCGCTGTCCCCCCCCACTCCCCACAGTACAAGCAGGTACGAAGGCCTGTATCCTGCTTCCAGCCAGGGGCAGTGTCTGACCCACGGCAGGTGCCCCGTTTCCGGTCTGTGGGCTGGGCAGTGTCTGACCCACGGTGGGTGCCCACGTCTCCCGTCTGTGGCCTGGGTGGTGTCCGACCCTCAGCAGGTGCCCGTGCCTCCCCTCTGTGGCCAGGGGCGGAGTCTGACCCACGGCAGGTGCCTATGTCTCCTGTCTGCGGCCTGGGCGGTGTCTGACCCATGGCAGGTGCCTGTGTCGCCTGTCTGTGGCTGGGGCCGTGTCTGACCCATGGTGGGTGCCCGTGTCTCCCGTCTGTGGCCTGGGTGGTATATGACCCACGGCAGATGCCCGTGTCTCCCGTCTGTGGCCGGGGCGGTGTCTGACCCATGGCGGGTGCCCGTGTCTCCCGTCTGTGGCCTGGGTGGTATATGACCCACGGCAGATGCCCGTGTCTCCCATCTGTGGCCAGGGCGGTGTCTGACCCAGCCTTGCCCCTCACAGTACAAGCAGGTGGAGCAGTACATGTCCTTCCACAAGCTGCCGGCCGACTTCCGCCAGAAGATCCACGATTACTACGAGCACCGCTACCAGGGCAAGATGTTCGATGAGGACAGCATCCTGGGCGAGCTCAACGGGCCCCTGCGGGAGGTGAGGCGGGCGCGGGCGGGAGGCAGCCTCGGGCACCCAGGAGCGGGTCCCGGAGGGAGGCAGGAGGGGCTCGAGCCGGGCCTTCGCTCGCACCCACCCTCCCCGCCCCAGGTGACCCTCCGTGAGCGAGCGTCTGCACCCCCGGACCCCCGCCACCCTCTTTGCAGACCTGCCGGCTGTGTGCCAGACAGGGCGGGGCACGGGCACAGCAGGGTGCGGAGGGAGGAGCGCCAGGCCCTGGGGGCACTCAGGCTGCTGAGGAGCGGGTGTAATTCCCAGCTGTGCCCCTGTAGCCTGGGTGACCCTGGGCAGGTTCCCCGGGCTGTGGCTCAGAGCAGCAGAGGCTCAGCCTCCCTCCTTCTGGAGGCCGCAGGCCCCAAATCAAGATGTGGGCCGGGCCGCGCTCCCCGCACCCCTGGGAGGGTCCTTCCCGCCTCTCCCGTGTGCGGCCCCAGGTGCCCTCGGCTTGCAGGTGCTGCTTCCTGATCTCTGCCTCCACCTGCTCGCAGGCCCTCCGCCCCCCAGTGTGTCTCTGTCTCTCCCTGTAAATTCGTCAGTCGCTGGATCAGGGCCCACCCGGTTCCTCCCGGCCTCTCCTTAACTGGGTCACATCCGCAAAAACCCTGTTTGCAGACGAGGCCCCATTCACAGGACCCAGGGGTCGGCCCGTCAGCCTGTCTTTCTGGGAGATGTTCTACCGGTGACAGGCATTGAGCAGTTACTGAGGGCCGTGTGCTTGGAGGTCCCGCCTTCAGGGAGGGGGGCCTAGGGAGTGGGAGCCCCAGGGGTCGAGGCCTAAGGAGGGGTCTCTCGGGAATTGGGGGCCTAGGGAGCAGGGGCCTAGGGAAGGGGGTACTGGGGGCCTTCAGGGAGCAGGGGCCTAGGGAAGGGGGTGCTGGGGGGCCCTCAGGGAGCGGGGGCCTAGGGAAGGGGGTGCTGGGGGGGCCCTCACCAGGGGCATAGAGATGGCGCCTCGGTCCTAGGAATGCTTCTGGGGGCATTTACACGCACTGCCTCCCAGGGGCATACACTGCGGTTTGCTTTGCCAAAAATGTTTAATTGCATTTGATGACTGCAGTCTTCGTTCATTTGTGGAGACGTGACTCACAGACCGCAGAGAGCATGAAATTCAGTGGCTTTTAGTGTTAACAGAGTGGTCACCACAGCCAGCTCCAGACCCTTCTCACCGCAGGAGACTTGGTCGTTAGGCACCAGCCCTGCTCCCTGCCCAGCTCCTGTCTCCTCCCGGCCCCTCTCCCTGCCCCCAGCCCCACGCCCCACCCACAGCCGCACCCCTGTACTATTCGGTCATCATTTAGGTGTAGAGAAGTTGCAAAGTCAAATCTTTAGAATCACGTATGGCCGGGCGAGGCGGCTCACGCCCGTAATCCCAGCACTTTGGGAGGCCGAGACCAGCCTGACCTACATGGTGAAGCCACATTTCCACTAAAAATACAAAATTAGCCGGGCGTGGTGGCGGGCGCTTGTAATCCCAGCTACTTCGGAGGCTGAGGCAGGAGAATCACTTGAACCTGGGAGGCGGAGGTTGCGGTGAGCCGAGATGGAGTCTTGCCCTGTTGCCCAGGCTGGAGGGCAATTAATGGTGGGATCTCGGCTCATTGCAGCCTCCACCTCCCAGGTTCAGGTGATTCTCCTGCCTCAGCCTCCCCAGTAGCTGGGATTACAGACACATGACACCACACCCAGATAACACACACACACACAGACATATATTTTTTTAAATAAAGATGGGTTTCACCGTGTTGGCCAGGCTGGTCTCGAACTCCTGACCTCAGGCGATCCACCCGCCTTGGCTTCCCAAAGTGCTGGGATGACAGGCCTGAGCCACCGAGCACCATCCTGCCTGGACTGCTTCTAGACTTTTACCACAGGCGTGAGCCACCACGCCCAGCCTAATTTTTGTATTTTTAGTAGAGACAGGGTGTTGCCGTGGTGCCCAGGCTGGTCTCGATCTCCTGCGCTCAAGTGATCCACCTTCCTCAGCCTCCCCACGTGCTGAGAATATAGGCGTGAGCCACTACGCCCAGTGTAAATTTTTTTTTAAATTTTTTTACTTTTTAAAGACGGGGTTTCACCATGATGACCAGGCTGGTCTTGAACTCCTGACCTCAGGTGATCCACCCACCTCGGCCTCAAAGTGTTAGCATTACAGGCATGAGCCACCGCGCCCGCCCTAAAATTTTTTTTTTTTTTTTTTTTTTTTTTTTTTTTTTAATTTTTTCCTATTTGTGTCTTTGTACCTAAGTACTTGTAGA